AGCCAGAAGCCATTTTACTTGTTCCAACAATGCATTTTTAGCGTCCTCTTATGCTTAAAAGAACCCCACAAGTAGCGACTGGTCTCATCCTGTAGAAGCTACTCACAATTGTACACTCCATTTGTAGCAATACCAACGTTGCACATATTAGACATGAGATAATGAAAACATTTTGCAGCTCGACGAGTGGTGACTTTCTATAGGACACTTTTCTCTTCTTTGCCGATTTGGCAGAGGTAACACGGACCTCAGAAATCATAATGTAACTTGATACAAGCAGATTATTGATGAGCCATTTTCTGCAATAACACAAACATACAAGCGCGCGAATTTCAGGTGCTAATTGTTAAAAACATTTTATTTATATGATACCGTTGTTACACCGAAGAGACACAATTATCACCGTGCTGTTGTCTTTATGCGGTTCAACCCGCAACTTTTATGATAGCAGCAACTGCAAGTGACCTTTGATCATCCAGTCAAATTGTTGAAAATAGATTTTAATTTAATTGTTCATCCGTCATTATCCAATTTGTAGAGACTAAAGAAGCTATTAGGAGCTAGAGACTTGTACAAAATGGTTCGATACACAACTGCACATCTTGGTGCGGTTGCTTTTTTTCATTGTAATTGCACATTTTTTATTATTGTCTTGATCGGACACATTGCTATCACATTGTATAAAATAAATGTATAGTCAGATTGCAATTGCGACAGCAAGTCTTGCCTAGCGCATACATGTTCATCACTCGCGGAGTACAAAGCCCATTCGTTGAATTGTATCAGTTTTAATGACGGCGCTTAAAATAAAGTTTACACGAGGTATGCATCCTAAACCGCTGAAATTCTAGCTCTTTGCCTCAACTTGGTTTCTAATCTTGTTCTGCCAGCGTTTTTCTCAGAACTTGTTTTAAAAAAAGCGGCATTTTCGCCATCGGGAGGCTTTTCTGGTCGGGATTATTTGGTCGCAAAGACTGATTCACCACAACAGTAACGGTAACGTGATTCAATGTCTTGTTTCTCTTCCTTTTATTATCCTGACCTTCTCACCAATTTTGCCTTTACTGGTAAATTTGGCGCTACCCTATCCCTCTTTCATTTAGTTTTTCCTTGAGGATGTGCAGCTGCAATTAGATGGAACTTTTCCAATTGCAGTGATGCCTGTAGGCTTCAGGACTATCGCACCCAAAAATTTATAGAGGGATGAATCAGCACGTAAACATTTCATCACTTAAGAAGCCGTCGAGTCAGGAAGATATGCACCACTATCACTTCACACGACAAAGTATTTGGAAAATGTCGCACTACGTCTTGGTTTTTGCGCGCAACGTGGCCAAAAAGCGTTTCAGAATAATTGTCATTTGTCACACGCTTGCTGTATTTAATTGGAAATTTGCGCCTAAACATCAATATATGCAACCTTTCATACGTTTTCTTGTTCCTTGTTGACTATTAGAGTAGAGATAAGTACGAAAATTTGGAAAAGAAACACTCACGCTTAATCTGCTAACGGACGAAGCGATTCCACATTGTATCAGCGGTCTCCTCCTCACAGGGAAGTTTTGCATCATTCACCGATTGACCTGATAAAAATGACACTTCGTTCAATTTTTTTAGCTACAATCTTTCTTTATAGGATCGGATTCCATCAGAATAATGCACCATCCACGACGTCCTAACCATTCATTTAAGTAAGGATGTACATTATTAAACAGCCTATAAAATTTAACGTCTTCATATCGTCGGGACATTATTCATTTCACAGTCTAATACATTATTTTTACCCGATGATTACTGTTGCGAGCCCGAAGGGTAATGCTGGGTGTGTGCAAGACTGAACGCCAAACTTAAAACGTACCTTATTGTTTGTTTTGGTGCGTCTCTATCTGTCTGTCTGTGCATTAAGCGGCTAAGTGTACCCCTCCCGTATAGATTGCGATCGAGACTGTCACTTCCTCATACGTAAAAAGGCATATCCAAAGTCACTCTTTGGCTCTGTCGCTATTGCGGCGCACGCACATAAATCGATCAAAGGTGAATTCGATTACATAAGCAAATGCTGGACGATCACAAGCGAATGCCGATAGCTTTACCCAAGTATACTGTATAGGTTTGTACAGACACTAGCAGTATCATAACTCATCTTTAATTCTACTGCTGTGCAGAGTTTAGCAATTTAATTTGTTCTATGAAATAAATTACTTTTATTGAAGGGAAAGCTCCAGAGCTATCTCCCCTATCCGATTTACTAGAATCAGGTGGCTTCAAGGAAAGCTCAACCTGCGGAAACTAAAGTGGTCGTGGGCTTTGTTTTTTTCTTACAAATGCATTTTGCCAGCGTTAATTGTTCGTTGCTGTTGCTGATGTTGTAGTCCTCCTTCTTTTATTAACCCCCTCCAATATTCGAGCTGTTATCTTAAATTTGCTCCAGATAACATCCGCATGTACTTCTGCGTGTGCATCCACGTCTCCAGCTTTGTATTCGTCCCTTCCCATACCTGATTGTATCTTTGAGTCTCCTCGTACCCTATCGGATATAGTGCCGCTCAGAGGTGTGGTCTAAAGATGAGATAGAAGGCTCATCCCTGCCGCATAAACCTAACGGGAGCTTTTAATAATAAATATAAGAAACAAAGCATCAATTTCGAAGGGACTGCAACCGAAACAAGACAAAAGCGAAGGTCCGTTCGAATAAATAGTGCAACAACTGTAAAAACGCTTGGCCATGATTTTTAAGATCTGATTTTGTCTATTTTAATTACTACTGACGACCACTATCCGGACTTGATGGGTGGTACGTGTGTCAGAGATAGATGAATCAAACATATGGAGTTTTATTAACTACACCTCACTTTTATTCGAAACACACCCCATGCACCACACCCATATCACGCCACAATCTATTTTTACGACAAACATTGCGCCACCATACCTCTGTACGACCACTGTCGCACAACATTCATCTATCGTACATACGTCAAGTAATTTACTAAGCAATTGTCTGTCAGCTTAAAATCGATGACCAAAGCTCGTTCCCTTCGTAAACGACTTGACCCACATATCCAGAGCACTCGTCATGAACCCCCCCTCATACTAAAAACACCCCATACATCACTCCCATAACAGACCGCAGTAGTGTTTGTACAACAAAATTTCGTGCTACCTTGTCTCTGTACTGATTCCTCAAATTCCACACCTGGGGTGCACCACTCAAAAGATGACAAAGCCACATCAATTCTTGCCATGATTGCCGCCCGCTACATATGTATTTGGTCAATTCTTACTAAGGTCTCACAATTGTCAACGGTTCAAGCGTCTAGATATAAGAAGGGAAGCGCGCGCGAGGATTAGTTGAAGTTTTGGTGGATACTTAGAACGTTTAGATTTTGGAAAGTGGTTTGGAAACAGCCCGAATTTGGAATGGTGAGCTGAAAATATGGAGTGTTCTCTGCAATAGAGACATTATACAGCGGTGCGGTGAGGACGCAACTACTTCAAATTTACATCAAAATCGAAATGTAGCACTAGATGAATTGACCCGGTGGAAAAGCTCTAAGCATTTAACCAATTGATCTTGCTTTCACAGCCAATGAACCGGTCCTGACGCAAAATCAGGTCAGGGCTAGATTAAAAATACGAATAGCTGTATAATACAATTTGCTTTTTATGAGGTGATCTTCACTGCATCACATGCATCTGATTTCGTTCTTAACCCTTGAACCTTTGTCTTGATCAATTTCAAACCTTCACGACTGAAACATGGCTTTTGCTATTTTTGTAAGCTCCAATTATCGCCCCAGATGTATCTGACATGCAGTGGCGAGTGCGTGTGGTCGTTAATCCTATCGTATTCAAGGCCTATATATTCAGTCGTCCATTGCGTGCTGGAGGAAGGTTGCTTGTGAAATCACTTAGCGTTTGTACAACAGATGCAGAATGTTGTGCGATGGTGGTCGTGTATATGTATAGTGGCGCTTTGTTTGCCTTACAACTGTAACAAGGTAGCCCGTTACATGAAATTGACACCAAACGGTGTCAATAGGAATATTGTCTAGTATGACAATATTCTACCGATATCATCCGGGATGGATAATATTGATGGAACATTATCCCCTTTTGGATAATACTCATTCGCTGCTCCAAGATTGGTTGATATAAGACATATCAACCATAGATTGCCACCAATCCCAGCTAGACGCGCGCAATGAGTGGTGAGCAGGTTGTCGTCATACGACGACGTAGTTTAACATAGTTAGATAAAGATTAAAGTTATGTTGATAGCTTAATTATATTTAATACAATTCTCTTAAAACCTTTACTTGACCGAGTCGTTCAAGTAAATTAGCTTCCTTTGCACGTACTAGTGTACGTGAAGTTTCGCGGCACCCAGTCAAAGGGTGCCCCGTTACACAAACTATATTGTGGTGTGGTATAGATGTGGTGTGCTTAGTAAAAAGTGGGGTGTATTAAACAATACCCACAATATATTGTAATTTACAGATTCCGCAATTATTGACCACCTGTGATCGATCGACGTGCATAAAACACCAGAAAGGTAAAGGTAAAAAAGCCACTTATGTGGTAGCTGCTATTATGTCTGCTAGCTATTTTTTCAGTCTCTGCCGTCGCGGCCCTACCTATCTCAATCAAAGCAGAGTTTCCGTACTATTTCATGTTTTATGTGGCCGCTCTAACGCTTGTAGGCTATCCACAAAATGTTTAGGTGAGTTGCTAGTTTTGGGTTTTTAGGACCCCTTAAAACAACGTATCAACTACTGTAAAAATTCCTGAGAATAAGTTTAAGCGGTTTTTATACAGATATCTGATTGGTTGGTGCACAAAATGTTAAGTCATACTCAGTGCTGGAGATGCTCGAAGATATGCTGGACAAGAAATTGTCCGTTCGTAAATCCGTATTAGGCACGTCAGTCCACTAAACGGATGCGATCGGCGTGCAGTTGTTGCAATTAAACCCTTGATTCAGCACTTCGTACTTCGCGATGAACCTGATTCATCGTCCAGGAAATCCTGAATCCATCCGACTTCGCTTCGCTGACGTGCACGTACAAAGCACAAAAGATCTCGCTGTCCACGATGTATCGGATACCAAGTTCTCACGTCGGAGCTGGTTCGACGTGACATTTCAATCATACGACCTGGACTCGATGCCGTGCCTCGGATGGTTATTTGTCTACATTTTCGTGCTCTTCTTCTTCTCCACCAGTCGATGTCTCGCTCTCTCAGCGTTGCTCGAAATGTACGGAAGCCCAAAGGACAACACTGTGGTCGTCAAAGCTTTAGCGCTGAGCCTCGGATTTTTGGAAGACGTTGTCTGTGCCACTTGTTTTGCGACGGTATTGTGGCTCTTCGATACATTGCGATACTCATTGACAAAGTGCTTTTGGACACCTAATGGAGTGGCAGTCGGAATGGTTACAGTTATGAGAGCTATTGGAGTTGCGGCAACATTTGTGGTCTCGTGGCTTCTGTGTTTTGCTGTAATGGCACCCTATTTCGCAGACCTATTTCTCGTCGTGTGTCAACACATGAGGTTCTCGTTCGGCTTGTGGACTACGTTACTCCGAGAGAGAGACCACCTCAAGGCTGCTCCAATATCAACGCAAGAAGTCTATGCAGCGTACGGAACTGCGGGGTTCCTCATTGCTATCACTACCCTTTTCGCGCTTGTGCGTGCGTTACATAAATGGGCTGATCTATCTATATGGAACCCAACGCAGCTTCTGCAAGTCTCTGTGTCTTGGTTGAACATGAAAGTCAGTGTGAAAACTTCACCAGAGGTTGTGGCAGGAGGATTGAAGTTTGAAGCGGTGTGTTTGGAAGAAGGATTCACAGACAGCACTACGGCTTCAAAGACCAGCAAAAAAGGATTGTCATCGCGTGACGGAAACATGCAACGGAGACTCAAGTACAACCCTCTTCTGCAAGCTTCTGGCGTTTTTGTGGGGCTTGTGATCCTACCGTCGATGGCAATTGTACTGAGTAGCGTATGTTCTCCTCTGGTCGCGTATGCAGCGCTAAACGCGACACTGAATGAGATGTTTGGTCACGCGTTCCAACCTTCACTCAAATATGTAGAGCCTCCAAATGCCGGTGGCCAACATCCGTGGACCGATAAATATATCGACACCTCAGAGATACGTGAGCTCTTTGGAAACAAGACGCTCTATCGTCGTACTTTAGGATTTCGAGGGGACCTCGCATTTAACGTCAGCATCGACCTCGCAAATCCGCCGAATGTGCTGATCATTGGTGTCGAGTCGTTTCGGTTTCGCGATTCACACTATCTAGTGGGAGAAGAGGACCCGTCAGATCTGTACAGGGGCACAAACATGACGATAACTCCGAATTTTGACAAATGGGCAAGACGCGGTGTGGCACTACGCAACGTTTGGTCGAGTTATCCCACAAGTCGTTCTTTGGAAAGCATGCTATTTGCTCAGGTTCCTTACCAAAGCAATGTGAAGACTGGTATCACTGGAGGAAGGAACACTACGAAACTTTCAGGTGTGCCGCAGCTTTTTGCCGAGAAAGGATACGAAACATACTTTACTACAGGAGCTTCTATCGCCCTGGACGACTGGAGCGTTTTTCTCCCTAGTCACGGTTTTAATACCGTGTGGGACGTCGATAAAATATACGCGTTGGCAAAAAAAACGATCGGTCTTCGTCCTGGTGACCGGTACGGTCCAATGCACCGAGGATTCTACTGGGGTTTTCACGACGATATCAGTTTTAAACTTGTGGGAGACTTACTGGTGAAAAAGAATCGAGAACAGAGGGAGAGGTTGGCTCGAGGAGAGCCAAAGAAGCCCTTATTTTTGACGCATTACACTATCTCGAGTCACGGGCCGTTCACCTCTTGGCCAAGATGGTATGAAGATGTCGACAAGCCTGATTTCACCCAGTTGTACGAAGGAGAGAAGCACGCTGATCGAATAGGGAATTACATGAAGGTGAGGTACTTTACAGATATGGAATTGGGAAAGTTCATGGACCGCATGGAGACGGGAGGTGTACTCAACGACACTATTGTTGTCATCATGGGCGACCATGGTCAGGGGCCTGAGAGTGACTTTGGCAATTCGATTGAGGAGTCGATGACACGTGTGCCAGCTGCTATCATTGCCGAAGGCCGCCTGGGCGATGATGTGGGGACTGTGATAGACGACGCTGCAGAGCATTATGACCTTCTCAACACGCTTGCCGATATCACAGGGTTGCCAGGAGGAGGATTGGAGCAAACTGGGGTCGGGCGATCTCTCAAGCGCAAAATTCCATTTGGTGAACGAGTGGTGTATAGCAATGACCCTTTGCGGAAAATGGCAGTTGTCCGTGGTCATCAGCGCCTTCGATATGACGAAGTCACCGAGGTGATGATGCTGCACGATACTGAAACTGACTACCACATGACTACGGATTTGCTGCCCGGATTGACCCCTCAGGAGCAGGCTGAATGGAGAAATTTGCGAGACGATGGTCGACACATTGCTGCCTATTACAAAAAGCGCTGGGATGAGAATTGTTTACTAGCAGTCGACTGCATCCCATGATGCATTTTTATTACATTTAATTGGAGCAGGTCGGGAGCTGCAGCCAATGAATTTGAGACTTCTTATCACATCGAGGTTCGAATGGCGTTAGCTGGTCGAAGTAATATTTTTGGTTAAAGGTGAGAAATAAATGCCCAACAGTGAGTGCGTGGAACTGGAAACACATGGCGACAATGCGACGCGTAAAATACAAGATGGTCATTCGCTTGAATAGATTGGTGAAAAATCAACTCCTGCAAGAGCTATTTCGCTTGGCTCAACATCTTGTTTGGTTCTGAGTCGATGGCAGACCCTACCATCAACCGCAAAGTGGGTACCAAAAAGAAGCTATTGCTAGACTTGATTGCTTTATTGTAGCAACCGCACATAACGAGAAAATTTGACTGAATGTGCGTGACGAATCAGTCCTTTGTTGAAGAGTCTTATAGCTCATGCCCGCATTTCCGTAATGATATTAAATCGGAGAGCAAAGGATCTACTTTGTAGTTGATGGCGCTAAATGATGAAGCGTGCAATTTAGTGCTGACGTGCGGTTTTTAGTGTGGCTAAGTCTACAAAAAGTAGATTGTTACTTAAAAAGCTGACCAGCTGAATGCAGCCCGTTATGGCCCCGGTAAATACGTCTACCCAAATGTACCCCTTTACCACGATCTTTAGCACATGTCCGGATGAGGAGATAACATCTGAAGTACATGATTATGTTCAGCAGTTATCGGTGAGCCGATTTCAGTAGCTATCAAGATTATCGCGTACAGAACTGGAAGGGATCACATACCCTGGTGAGTCTACAGCAGATTCCAGTGTTGTGCGATGCTGATACTTACAGATGAAAGAGCGTTAAAACGCTCGAAATACCGCACATAGCATGATACGCTGCGTGCTTTTGTAGTGAAACAAGATGGACGTGTGTCGTTCAGCAGAAGCAGTGGGGTTGCCCTGCACAGACAATCCATTAATTATCTACACATTCAAAACGGATGGACAGCCCTTAGGTAATGTTCAAGGATACGACAACACACATTCGATTAAGTCATTGCTTTGCTGCACGTAACGGCATGATGGAAGAGGTTTCGCATGACGCCATCGCCAGACGAGAAGTGTATGCCTTTTTTCGACGCTTAAGACCCTACAGGCGTCGTTGACCGGATGTGAACCGAATTATATTGAATCGTTGATAGACCGACACGGCTTGAAGAAGTCGATCGATGCCTCCATCTACTAGCTATACAATTTTATTCACAATCCATGGAGACAACTCGACCCGAAAATGATTTGCAGTCGTAATGTAGCAGAGTCTAGATAAAGATGATGTCCGGTACAGTTCCTAGCGACAGTAAGTGGTAGATCAAAAGATCAGTCACAGTGGCCTGTACCCATTGCGGTGTGGCTGATTATTTACAAGACCGCGCATGACATCGTTGTCTCTCCGGCAATTGTCTTTCGATCGTGTCAAGCAATGATTCGTCTACGTCCAGGAAAGCGTATCGTCATATGTGTAGACAACACTTGCGCTGTCTTGTGATAGCGTTGCTTTAATCTGTTTTTTTTTCTTGAAATGCAATAGTCAAATTCGCCCGGGAGGGTGTAAGTTTATGAATGCGAGTAAGCTTGATGTTATTCCTTTCTCTAGAGACTGACTTACAATTTTTTAATTCCCATGCCGCACCCACGTCTTCGCTCACGACCACCGGTCATACCAGGTGCGGGCAAAAATGGTATGTGGGCGTGACGTCCCAAACTTGATACATTTAGCGTTATAATTTGTTATAAATTACTTACTAGGGAACAACAGGCCTATTTGCTCAATTTAATCTGGTGACCAATTTGGTAAAAACATCTAGGTGGGCGTGGATGGGCAGAGCCCATCCACGCCCAATGGTTCAGCCTTTAGGTGGGTGCGGGGAGTGCCGATTAGAAACTCTAGCGAGGAGATTGACACCTCCGACTTAGTACGTGGGTTTCCCTTGGATCAGGAATATTGTATTTATCTTACTATGTTGGTACACTTGCTTACAACGCGAACATTCCTTGAAATGAACGAGAGATCTGACAATGTTGGCGCCCACTAAATAATAATCAAAGAATAAGATAGCTACCCACAGTGAAACCAAATCTTGTAAATCGCCTTTGCTTTGGCCGTTACCTCACCACACATCAGTTCTTTGTATGCACGCTTCTTGTGTATCGCCATAATTTGGCATAGCCTCCTTCCTGATCACTTGTATCAGTTGCATACTAGAGACACATACAGCTAAAGGTACGTGGCCCTTGAAATTAATGTGTAACAGCACATGTGGATGGTGATAATGTACCTACAAGGCAGCGACTCGCGTCCTGAACGCTTGCCGATGGGTTTGACCATGCTGATTTCTAGTTTAATGGCTTAGCCTATGTTTAAACACTGTGACCCACGTTGCGCTTGTGTTTAAGCCGCGGTCTACAGGTCAATAGGGGCTGCTAAGCACGCAATTAAAGCAGCAATTCGGGCTTTAATCATTAAGGAGCATCTTTTGGACAGACGCTAAAGCATAAAACACTGCTGATCTCTATTTATGAATGGGGTTATATCGGTGAAGCAGATAGAAATATTCATCCGTGTGAAGTTTCGCATTAATTTATCGTATAAAAATCTGGCATTTGTAAAGCCTCCAATGCCGCAGTAAAATCTGCGATGACAAAAACAACAACAATGCCTTGTCCACCTTAAATAAAGAAGCTTCCGCAACAAGTGTGAGAAAATCAGCCACTTTACAAACTCCGGACGCGCCGACTCTAAATATGCCTTTTGCACTTGCTACCGCAACATTTATCAGGAGTGAAAGGCACAATTCAAAATTTGGTTTTTTAGCATTGTAAGATAAGAACCGCCTTTTAATCCTGGGACTTCTGCGTTTTTAGAAGGGAAACCGTTATCTTAGATAAATGTCAAGTCTTTAACTAAGGGGGGGTCCGCGCTGTTATAAGGGACACCTACATTATTTGAAAAGGACAATATGTTATTAAGGAGGTGCCTGCGCAGTAAGTAAGGGGTGTCTACTCTTCAAACCCTAAATTTATTTGGCTGCTGCAAAATATCTCACAGTTCATCGAATGTCGCATCGCTAATAGTAACAAAAACTGCCGAGGTTACGAAGCATGGACTTGCTTTGCAACGTCCACAACTGTGAAAGTGTTTTGTACTGTAGCCATACGGTGTTGCCTCAACTTGCATATACAGGTTCATAATGAGTTTAGTTTGAAACGGTTCGTTACGGAATTACACAAATGGTTGTGATAACTAGGTAAGCTGGTGTGATACACACCGAAGGAGATTAGCATCACTGATAAGGCGTGCTTTTGTACCACATACGCTAAGCGGTAATACCGTATTCTATCGGTTACGGCTAGAGGAGATCTATCGTAATAGGGTCTTTATAGAGGCGGCGTACTTCGGGTGTGGTACACCAGAAGAACCTCCACGAGGACTATTTCATTAGGTAATATATTTTCAAGGTTAGAGACGTCAGTGATGTTAATTACCGGTATATATTAGAGGGTACATTCAGTTCCACCTTTGATCAGTTTCAGACACGTGTCTTGTTAGACGTCTTGATCGTAAGAGTTAAGAGCCTGCACTAAGGCTTAGTACTCTAGGGCGTAGTACTACGTGAATCCTTGGCGTTAAAGTCCCCTTAACCAGAATAGAAGATTACAAGCTTGTTGAAGAACTTAGAGACTAGTCTCAGTAAGTCAGTAAGACTTAAGGACATTCCAAGGTTATACCCGTTTAGTTTTTTGCAATGAGAGAGACTCTACATGTCTAGAAGTCTGCTTTTGGCTAAGGAGTTTAGTAGCTGCGCTACACGGTATGTAATAACCAACATGATTAATTTGGAGGTAACTATGACGTTATATAGCTTGAGCCTGTGCGGAATTTAATCGGCAAAGGGCGTGCACTTATACGGGCAACAGTAGCATCTTACCCGTACTGAATCTTGTGTAAGCAGGTGCCATGAAAACTTACTTTCACGAAAATTTAGAGGAGGTGTAACAACAACAAAATTCGCAAGTTGCGTTGGAACGGAAAACTTCGGTGAGTTAGGTATCATCTTCCTATAAAACCTGTCTTGAAATTCTCTTGAATTTAAAAAAACATAGACAGGAGTTACTGTAACGATATGAAAACATTTATTTTTGGGCTTCGCGAAAAAAAAATTGCGTTGATCTATATGCAACAAACTGAATCACATTTGGAATAAAACACCCAAAAAGAATTTAGAAATAGCATTAACTAATGCGCTGCTCGACCTAAAATGGCTTTATACCAAGGCAGGATTAGTCACATAAATCTCAGTCTCCAGTAGATCACTTTCAAAAAATTAGGTGTAAGATACGTGACAAGCAAACAGAAGTTCAATACCGCACTTTAGGTCCTGTAAAAACTTTGAGGGTCTGCATAATCAAATTAAATTTTTTTACAGACTTGTACCATATCGACTTACCTAACTAGTCGATTTCTGACCGAGTTACCTCCTGAGCTCCTGAGCTGTCTCGCTTTTTTTACACTCAAACTAGTTGTGAATACCTCCATCTACTATGAGTTTGGGTGTGATGTGAATGCTCGTTTGTGCTGGCCAAAAAAAATATAAGGTAAACGACTAAAGCGACAATCGATCCTCTTGATTTCGGGAGGCCTAAAAAAATCTGTTTTGAGGATAAAGATACTTGCATACTTAAAAGCTACAAGACTAATGTTTAATCTTCACCACGCAAAGGCCAATACTCCGACTGTGATTTTAACGAATTCCAGGATGGACCGTCACTCGTCGCCTTTGCTGTATTGATTTGATTTTTGATCAATCCACTAAGTGTACGAAAGATCAAGGATCTTAATCATTTAAAAAGGGTATGTATAATACTGCGGTATTATACCGCTATATTTTAGCGCTATAATCAAGTACACTATACAATTTTTTAACACATTAGCACTTAGTTTTCATTCTCCACCTCATTTACTCACT